AAACAAGTCTATAATTCATTGCCATATATTTTGATAAAATAACACTTCTCACTGTCATGTCACAGTTGTTGACGGTGAAGAACGGAATTACAGACAAACCTCTCATTCACGGACTAATAGCGGGGATGGGTGGTCCGTTGAAGCCGATTGTCCGTAGATGGAAAGAGATTATCTTTGAGTTATAAAACCACTATAGTAACTGCCTGTAGTTATTATCATAATATACATAGTATAAACATGTATATATGGCATGAATAAATATATACTTAATATAGATATAGTAATTATAATTATATTAATTATATTATTAATATATTAATTAAAATAACAAAAGTAAGAGATTGAACACAGGTACTTTCTCACAGACGCGCTAATGTATCGTACTTTATATACTGTACACCCGTCTTTGTTTACAATTGAAAGGCCAGTCACCGCCGCCAAGCGGTCACTTTGAGAACTAATACGACTCATTCTGCTAAAACCGCAAATTTTAAAATACATCGCTGACGATTTGGAAGTTTTTATGCCTGCAGATTTTTTTTTTTTTTTTTTTTTGCTTGCAGATTTTGTCCGTTGTATCCGAAATCTTTTGATTGGGTGGGTGGGTCCGTAGATGAGAGTTTCGTCTGTATATATAAATATATATTACTGGTAAAATTTGATTATTTACAAAAATGTATTATTGGTAATATTTTTGTTTATTTACAAAAATGTATTGTACGTTATTTACATTATTTGGACTATTGTCCTCAACTTTGTCACCATATTTATCACAACGTTTCGGCCGTTGTACGCTTCGTAATATGGAGCGCCAGAGAAAAGCAATGATAACAACATAGTTGCAATATGAGCTCTGGTAAAAAAATGAGATGATAACAGCAAAATTGCAATATGAGCACTGGTAAAAAAGCAATATGAGCACTGGCAAAATTGCAATATGAGCACTGGTAAAAATGGTTGCTGAAGACATTAGGTTTATAATACCCAGAAAATCATACCCAGATGTCCTCAAGTGGATAAAGGCGTTGGTTAAATCTAGATCCAGTGACAGGACCCAAAAGAGTATGAGTTCAATACCCGGTTAAGGCAGTGGAGAACTTTCAGAGGGAAATTAACAGGAGATAACTGATAACTGACATCCATCAAACATGGCACGTGGAACTAGAGCGAAATAAAGGGTTCGGTTCGACATTCCAACCACCTGAAGAACGGCCGAAACGTTGTAATAAATATGGCGACAAAGATGAGGACAATAGTCTGAATAATGTAAATAGTGTACATAATACCTCATCTCAGAAATATAGACAGATACTGAAAGGCCGAAACGTTGTAATAAATATGGCGACAAAGATGAGGACAATAGTCCGAATAATGTAAATAGTGTACATAATACCTCATCGCAGAAATATAGACAGATACTGAAAGGCCGAAACGTTGTAATAAACATGGCGACAAAGATGAGGACAATAGTCCGAATAATGTACATAATACCTCATCTTAGATATATAGACAAGAATGCATTGCTAATAATGTTTTTTTTGTTTTGTTTTTAACAAAAATATTACTAGTAATAATAATAATATATAGTAATATATATTTAATTATTTATATTAGTTTTATAAACATGAATTGCTAGTATCTTTATTAAAAAATGTATTTCAATCTCAGCTGATTGATGTTATATTCAACACCTTTACTCCAGAGTCTCTGTAATTGTTCGGTTCATTCGCCAAGAGGTGTCAGCAAATGTCTCATTTTTCTTGTATTCGTTATTTTTATATTAAATTAAAAATAATTTATGCATACGTTTAATTGTGTTGCGTTGATTTTTGTTATTTGTGTGTGCGCGAAAGTGTACGTGTTTGTGCGCGCGCGTGTTTATGCATGTGTGTGTAAGCCTGTACGTGTGTGCATGTGCACATGTGTAGGATGTCGTCTCGGTTAATTTTCTTCTTCTCCTTACACTCTCTCATTATTCGTTGTCTTTCTTTTCTTTATCTTTCGGCTTTGAGTGGGCACCTCGACGTGGTGTAATGATTAGCACGCCTGTCTCGCTAAAACTATTACAACCGAGGACTGAGTTCGATCCTAACCTCGGCGTAGTGTAATTGTTAGCAAACTTGTCTCGATAAAACAGTTGCGACCGGATAGTGAGTTCGACCTTCACTGGGTGCCTCGTACTTTCGGACTAGTTGCCGAAGAATGATAGGAGACTGATGGGGCGATAGTTAGATTGGTCAGAACGGTCTCCATAGTTCTTACAGATCGGGACGGCAGGTGAGGACTTCCAAAGAGGCTGGAAAGCAAGAATCGGCAAGGTAATAGTTGTAAAGTTTGGAGAGAACTGGTACCAACTCTGGGGCAGATTTCTTTAGGACTACGGTTGGTATCCCGTCAGTACCACTTGTTTTATGAGAGTCTAATTTCGAGATGATGTCTAATACCTTCGAAAGGGTTACGCACATCTCAATCTGTATAGACTGAATGTGTCCATTGGTAAAATCCGTGAATTACCATTTTTATTGATGTCCTTCTCAGTATCATAAGATTCTGATACTAGAGCAGGACGACTTGTGCTAGAACTCCGAGGCAGGCTGCAACCGTCCACGAATGGGCTGATACCGGCCGCTGATGAGTGTCCAGAAGTGGAGGCTAGAGGTTCTGATTCAGAAGGAATGATCTTAAACTCGAGGGTTTCTGCAGTGCGACTTAGCGATTGGCAAGATTTTGGCGCACTGTAAAAATCTCCGGAACCACTTATATTCTTGTACAAAATCAGGTGTGGATAACCCGGATGAGTCGTTTGTTGAGTTAGATGAGAATTTCCAAGCAAAGCACCCAGCCTTATCTACTGAGGGTGTCAGGGCTTCGAATTGCCTGAATAGAGTAGGGATTGATGATTTGCTATAGATGAGCACACTCTTGCAGAGCCGCTAATAATCTTCAAACCTGCGAGGTGCAATACGTTGTTTCATCCTAACAGCATAATAATAGCGGAAGAGGAAGCAGGTAAGAACCGGGAAATGAAAGCGATTTAACTTGGTATTTTCTTGCTGAGGTGAAATCCTCGATGCCGGCTTTTAACCCAGGAGGGGACCCCAGACGCAGATATTTGTACGAGATGATTAAAAACCACATTATAAGGGACATCGCAAAGGCAATCACAGAACGAGTCCCAGTCTGTGCGTTAATAACAGACAGATATTCTGTTAGTAGGATGGTCATGGCTAGCGTTGAAGAGGAAGGAGATGTTAACAGACACCATCGCGTTATCAGAGTTGCCAAGATGGAAGAGCTGCGTAGAGCAACAAGAACCAGGGATGATGGTAAAACAGAAATTGAGAAGGGAAGCGTTACTGTCAGGGTTACGCATAGGAAAATCAACCACTTGCGTGAGTAATTGAATGATAATAAAGCTAAGGGTTTGGATGCCAGCAATGTCAGTCACAGACTGTTTAAGCCACATGGTATGGTGGGCGTTAAAGTCACCGAACGCGAATATGTTTGCAAGCGGATGTAGAAAGATGGCTTTGTTTATATTATCAGAAATGCTGCCGAGTACACAATAGTCTCAAGAGGAAGGGGGACGATAGAGAAAGAAGCATTTGCTTACTGAATTAAGGAGCGGTAGACACATACAGGAATGCTCTGAGATTCCAGGGAGAGTTTTCTAGTCTTTCTAAGAAGTGGAAAGCAGCTAGAAAACAAGAAATGCTCAAAGAGAATAACGAATTAAGGTCAGTCTCATGGAGAGCTAATATATCAGTATATATATATATATATATATATATATATATATATATATATATATATATATAAGCATTAGACATATTTTAATTGTGCATCACAGACAGTTGAGTGTTCACTTCTACAAGAAGTGAGTGTTAGCCCAAGGTTATTTTAGTAGTATCCCTCTTCCCACTTCGTGCGGCCGTAAGAATTTTCACTCCTGGCCTAAACTTTCGGCTAAGTAACCATATGACAAAGAATATCATCGCCCGTCATCCTTGTTTGTATCTCTTGGAATTTAATTTTTACCGCTTTTCCTGAAAGTTAAAAGGTGGGGCAGGAGTTCAGAATTTAAATCTTCAGGTCTAAAAACGAATAAAACTGACAGTCGCCTCTCGCTGCTTACCTCAGTGTCCACTTATATATATATATATATATATATATATATATATATATATATATATATATATATATATATATATATATATATATATATATATATATATAAGAAATGGACAAGGTCCGACAATTTATTTATTAAAGATATTTTTTTTTTTATTATGTTTTAACGTTTATCTATAAAATAACAACGTTAAACATAATAAAAAAAAAATCCTAATAAATATATATATATATATATATATATATATATATATATATATATATATATATATATCCAGGTACAGTGAGAACGAAAAAGAGTACACTTGCAACGTTCGCAACGTTTAATTTAAAAAAATTAATAATGTTTCCCTCAGGCGATAATCACATTGATACGCGTTGAAATACGATCGCAATTGTGTAGCGATTTTAATATGTTTTCGTTTTAATATCCTAAAATAAATAATATATATAATATATATAATATCCTAAAATAAATAATATATATATATATATATATATATATATATATATATATATATATATATATATTGGACATAATTTTTCAGAATTTCTCTTCAAACATCATATATTTTATCGTCAACATGAAAAAAAAGAAAAAAGTTCGTTTGCTTTCTTTCTCATGAGTTCAATCTTGGCCATCATGCTTCTCAAACTGCTGCCAAGATTAACAGTGAATTGGGTGAAGGATCTGCTTGCCATCAGACAATAGGGTCCTGGTTTCTGAAGTTCCGCAGTAGGGAGCCGAGTCTTCAAGTTCAAGGTGATAGAGGACGTTCATTTGCAATTGTCATTCAACATCTGTAAACGCTAGTAAAACGAATCCACGTCAAATTTTCAAAGTAATGTCTCAGATAAAGGTTGAAAAA